TGTTTTCTGTGGAAAAAGGAGAATAAAGGCAAGAAGGGTAAGCAGAAAGAAAAGGATCATGATGATGATGATCGTGTTGTTACTGCTACTTGTGGTGATCTTGTTAGTGACCATAGGTCAATTAATCTTGTATCAGATGAGAGCATATGGATTGTTGACAGTGGTGCTACACTGCATGTTACACCAAGGAAGGAGTTCTTCATATCTTACACTTCTGGTGATTTTGGAGTGTTGAAGATGGGTAATGATGGTGTGTCTAAAGTGATTGGTGTTGGTGATGTTTGCCTACAAAACAACATGGGAATGCAGTTGTTGCTTAGAGGAGTCAAACATGCTCCTGATGTCCATTTTAATTTGATCTCTGTGAAAATACTTGATGATGGTGGTTATGATAACCACTTTGGTTCTGGAAAGTGGAAACTCACCAAAGGTAACTTGGTTGTGGCTAGAGGCGAGAAAAATTCTAAACTGTATTGGACAAAAGCTTTGGTTTCTAAAGACAACGTGAATGCCATGGATATGGAGGCATCTTTGTGGCACCGAAGGCTTAGTCATATCAGTGAAAAGGGACTGAATTGCTTAGCTAAAAAGGATTTCCTTCAAGGGTTAAAGAGTGCAGAATTGGAGAAATGTTCTCATTGCATGGCTGGCAAGCAAACCAGAGTATCCTTCAAGAAGCATCCTCCCTCAAGGAAGTTAGAGTTGTTGTAATTGGTACATTCTAATGTTTGTGATCCATTGAAGGTAAAATCCTTTAGTGGTGCACTTTACTTTTTTACCTTTATTAATGATTGTTCCAGGAAACTATGGGTCTATGCTTTGCAGAGAAAAGACCAAGTTCTGGAGAGGTTCAAACAATTTCATGCCTTGGTTGAAAGACAGTCAGGGAAGAAGCTGAAACGCATTCGTACTGATAATGGTGGTGAGTATTGTGGACCCTTTGATGTTTATTGCAAGCAGCATGGTATTGCACATGAGAAGACTCCTCCTAAAACTCCTCAGTTGAATGGTTTAGCGGAGAGGATGAACAGGACATTGCTTGAGAGGGTGAGATGTATGCTCTCAGATGCTAAATTACCCAAGCATTTCTGGGGTGAGGCACTATACACGACAATGCATGTTATTAATCTCACTCCTACTGTTATTCTTAACAGTGAGGTGCCAGACAAAATTTGGTTTGGCAAGAATGCAAGCTATGATCATTTGTGTGTCTTCGGTTGCAAGGCATTTGTCCATATTCCAAGAGATGAAAGATCCAAGTTGGATGCAAAGACAAGGCAGTGCATCTTCATTGGTTATGGTGAGGATGAATTTGGCTACAGGTTTTATGATCCTGTTGAGAAAAAGCTTGTTCGAAGCCGAGATGTACAGTTCATGGAAGACCAAACCATTGAAGATATTGATAAGGTGGAAAAGACTACACCCGAGAAAGATAGAAATCTGACTGATGTTGATAATGTTGATGGTAGTGTTCAACCTGGTGAACAACATGATGATGTTGATGATCAACAACTTGGAGGTGGATTAGATGTTCATATTGATGATGACCAGGAGGAGCATGAAATGTCTCATGATGAGAATATTGATGATGCACCTGAACCACGTCAAGTTCAACTCAGGAGGTCTAATAGACAGAGACAACCTTCAACAAGGTATTCTTCTGATGAATATGTGACCTTGACTGATGGTGGAGAACCTGAATGTTTTGAAGAGGCTTTGAAAAGTGAAGAAAAGCAACAGTGGTTGGATGCAATGCAAGATGAGATGAAATCCTTGGATGATAATCACACTTATGACTTGGTGAAATTGCCTAAGGGCAAGAGGGCCTTAGAAAATAGGTGGATTTTCAGGGGGAAGCAAGAAAGTAATTATACATCTCCAAGGTACAAAGCCAGATTAGTGGTGAAAGGCTTCAAACAGAGAAAGGGTGTTGATTTCAATGAGATTTTCTCACCTGTGGTGAAGATGTCATCCATTAGAGCAGTTTTGAGTTTAGCAACTACTCTTGATTTAGGGTAGAGCAAATGGATGTGAAAACTGCTTTCCTTCATGGTGATTTGGAGGAAGAGATTTATACGAAACAACCTGATGGATTTCAGGTTAAAGGCAAGGAAGACTGTGTATGTAGGCTGAGAAAAAGTCTATACGGTCTGAAGCAGGCTCCAAGACAGTGGTATAAGAAGTTTGAGTCTTTTATGTGTGAGCAAGGCTACAAGAAGACTACTTCTGATCATTGTGTCTTTGTTAAAAAGTTTTCTGGTGATAACTTTATTATCCTGTTATTGTATGTTGATGACATGCTTATTATTGGGAAAGATGTTTCCAGGATTGTCAGGTTAAAGAAGCAATTGGGCAATTCATTTTCCATGAAAGACATGGGAGCTGCTAAACAGATTCTTGGTATAAGAATCATTCGTGACATAGATAAAGGGAAGCTTTGGCTATCACAGGAACAATATATTAAAAAGGGTGTTGCAGAGATTCCAGATGGAAAATGCTAAGGCTATGAGCACTCCTCTTACTACTCATTTTAAATTGAGTGTTAAACAGAGTCCTTCAAATGAAGCTAAGAAATTAGACATGGAGAGAGTTCCTTATGTATCTGCAGTGGGTACTTTGATGTATGCAATAGTGTGTACTAGACCAGATATTGCACATGCTGTTGGTACAGTCAATAGATTTTTGTAAAACCCAGGTAGAGAGCATTGGAATGCTGTGAAATGGATTCTGAGGTATCTTCATGGTACTGTTGATATGAAACTTTGTTTTGGTGGTGATAAGCCTAATTTGGTTGGTTACCCAGACTCAGATATGGCTGGAGATGTTGATTTCAGAAAGTCCACTTTAGGCTATTTGATTAAGTTTGCAGGGGGAGTTGTGGCTTGGCAATCAAGGCTGCAAAGGTGTGTAGCATTGTCTACTACTGAGGCGGAGTTCATTGCCATTACTGAAGCATGCAAGGATTTGCTATGGTTGAAGAAATTCTTGCAGGAGCTTGGTTTTGTGCAGGAAAAATATCCTTTATTTGTTGATAGTCAGAGTGTTATCCATCTTGGCAAGAATCCAACTTTCCATTCTAGGTCCAAAAATATTGATGTAAGGTATCATTGGATACGTGATGCTTTGGATGCTAAGCTGTTGGAGTTGGCTAAAATTCATACTGATGATAATGGTGCTGATATGATGACTAAAGCATTGCCAAGAGGAAAATTTGAAGTTTGTTGTGAGATCGCCGGTTTGGCAGTTATCTCCACATAGTTGTGAGGGGGAGATTTGTTGGGTATTGGGCTCCCATCCTATGTGTAGAAAAGGCCCAAAATTGAGAAGCCCACTTGATGTCTCTCTTAATTAAGTGGAGAGAGGGTCTGAAACACAAGAGAGAAAAAGAGGGAAAGTCAAAAGTCACTTTGAACACCAACACTTTGAAAGAGAGGAAGAGAGAAAGTTATTCTCGTTTTTACACCGGGCTGCGATAGTAAAATCGATACTTCAGATTCGTTCACCGTTGGATCGAGCTGAAAATTGGACAGCAGGTTTGTGACATCCGATTATTCATTCTGACAGGTTGGATCGTTGAAATGAGGTCTAAGTAGGGAGATATTCAGTTTGCACTGCAGCTGTGTATTTGGAGTTTTTTTATCTTCTTTGTTCTCTATTTGTAAGCTTTATTGCTTTGTTGTTTGGCTGGGTGTTAGCATTATTTTGTGCAGTTTATTGAGACTCTCTTGTACTCTTTGTTGATCATAGTGGAGGTATTCCTTTGGTCTGGATGACTCGTGGTTTTTTACCCTTGCTTTAAGGAGTTTTCCACGTTAAAAATCTTAGTGTCTGTGTGTGTGATTTTTTGTGATTTATTATTGTTGTTCATTGGTTGTTGCTCCTCATAGATTCTTGCTAGTTTGGGGAATTTATTTCCGCTGCGATAACTGTTTGAGTTTGTTTTATATTGTTATTGTGTTGTTGTTTCCCCATCAAGAACATTGTCAGCAATATATTAATTGACAGTAAATTATTTTAATTATGACTTTTTAAATAATTTATCATTTATAATTAGAAGATATATAATATAAAAAAAACAAATGTTGCATCTATATAGTGAAATTAATTTGTTTTACTTAAATATTAGTGGGATGGATGCACAAAGTGTGACAATTATAAAGGAAGTTACATTCTTTTATTTATATATATAAATATATATATATATATATATATATATTTATATATATATGGGGAATGCTAATATACTCCCATCTATTTTTTAGTGGGAGTATGTTAGCAACCTACACCAAAATTTTAGGACAAAAACATCACTCATTTCTTTTGATTTGGTTAATTCGTACAAAGGATATTATAGTAATTTAATTTAATTTTAAATAAAAATAAAATATTTTCTCTCTCTTATTAATTTCATTCTCTAATTCATTTATTTTTCTATTAATTAATTTTAATTTGTTCAGAGAGAGGGGGAAGACATTAGAATTTGGATCCTCTCCTGCAATTTTCTCTCTCCAGCCTCTCTCCTGCAATATTAATAGTCATTAGATATATCTAATGGCTCAAATTTAATTATTTAAGAAGTTACATTAATTATAAGATTAAATTTGAGTCATTAGATATATCTCATGACTATTAATGTTGCAGGAGAGAGGCTGGAGAAAAAAAATTGCAGGAGAGGATCCAAATTTGAGACATCATGAGATATGAGAGAAAAATGAGTTAAAGAATGAATTTAATAGGAGGGAGATAAATAAGTTAGAGAAAGAATTTAATAGGAAAGATAAATGAGTTAGAGAAAGAAAACCAATCATATTTTTTAAATTATTTTATTTTATTTTTATTTTATTAAATAAACAACTAACATGACACTATTAAAAAATATGATTAGTTTTCAGTGTAAAAAAAAAAAACTTTACACTAACAATGTATAGATGATTAACTCTTTCATTTATTAATATTTAAAGATATAAACATATATAGAGATGCATGGTGAGACACCAACCCCTGAGCTAGAGATGGAAAGTAGAGTTGTGGGCGTGAATAACAACAACAATGAAAACACAGCAACTTGCACCATTACCATTAAGGGTTTTATTAGCCTTCTAATGGAAACCATTGATGAGAATGGTGGTGATAGCAAGAGAGTTATTTCTCTGGGTATGGGTGACCCAACTCTCACCAGTTACTTTCCCATCTCCAACGTTGCTGAAGAAGCTGTTTCTGAAGCACTTAGGTCACACAAGTTTCGTGGCTATGCTCCCACTGCTGGTCTTCTCCAAGCCAGGATGTAATGCTTCCTTGCCTCTCTATCTCTTGTTTCAAATTTCTTATTAGTGTCCTATATTTATATTTGTTATTGTTATTGGTTAGTGTATATGTATGCATCAGATCCTTATCACCGACATTCCATAATTGTTTATACTTTGGAAAAATATATTTGGACACCAAATATTGTTAAATACCGAGTGAGATAGAAAGAAAATATATATATATATATATATATATATAAGAATAAAGTGTAGAGAAAATATTGTTCTTATACTTTGTTTTCCTTGTGTAGTATACTGGTATGTGCCAAATCAGATTAAGAAAAGGCTCATGTCGATCCAATCATGAACCAATGAGACTCTTACTTTAAGTTCTTTTTAAAATAAATTATTTTATATTAATGGTTATATAAATTTTTTAAGGTCCAAAACTCAAAAGTCACGTTTTTATTCTTAAAAATTCAGTCTAAAAAATTTATCTTTAAAATATATACAAATATAATTTTTTTTTTTTCAAGATGCACGTTTAAAATGTTTTTTTAATCAAAAGATATTATTAATTTTTTTATAAAAAAAGTCTTAACCTTTATTTGATGAAGATTATTTACTAAGAAGGGGAAGGATTATAGTGGATTTGAAAAAAACAATCTTTGTATTTGGTGAAGTGTATTTAAAGATAATTGTGAGGAATTAAAAATAAATTCCACATTATTTTTTATACCTTTTCCATTGAAGAGGTTCTTGTGAGATTTGTAAAATATGTAAAATAACAATAATTTAAACTATTTTGCAAACTAAGAATAAATTAAATAGTAATTATAAATATAAGTTCTGTTCTATTTCTCACTTAATTTCACTCTATCAAATAATTATAATTATTTCATTCTATTTTCTATTAAATCAATTCTCATTTATTATATCTCATTATCTTCTATTCCTTTTCCTCTTCCAAATAAAGCATTAAGGTTTAATTTAGGTATAACAATGTGTTAGGCCAAACATGAGAAAAAACATGTCCAATTTTTCAAATCGATTTAAAAAGAGTAACATCATGATATAGTATTTTTAAGAAAAATATAGAGGATAATAGTTAGATGCTCATTTAAATATTACTTTTACTAAAATTAAAGTTTGTCCTTAAAAAAAACTAACATTAAAGTTTCAAGTCAATAATTAAGCTGGACAAGGTCGATATTTAAAATCGGTATTACATATCAACGAGAAATTTTAATTTTATTAAAGAGTATAACGCCAAAACGAAATTACTTAAAGAGTTATCTCTAAATTTTGTAGAACAGAAGGGGGGGGGGAAAATTGGTATCATTGCATTTTTTAAATAAAAATAAAATAAAATAAATCTATGTAATGCCAGTCTAAAAAGTGAGCAAAGAGTAGGCATAGATCCCCTTCAAAATCTACGGTTTTGATAAATTGTTCATTAGTTGAACAAGTTTAAACATCATAAAGGAGAGAGTGGGAGAGAGAGTTTCTCCGTAACAACACCAAAATATTTTAAAGTACCATCGAGTATCTCTTGGTTTAAAGTTGAGTACACATCAATTGTTTTAAATTTTCACATCACTTGTGTGTGTGTCACTGATGTTATTAATTACTGTTATATTGGAGACAGTGCAATTGCTGAATATCTATCTCGTGACCTTCCTTACCAACTATCAAGTGATGATGTTTTCATCACTTGTGGATGCACACAAGCCATTGATGTTTCAGTGGCCATGCTTGCTCGCCCTGGTGCAAACATCTTGCTTCCAAGACCAGGCTTTGCAATCTATGAACTCAGTGCTGCATTTAGAGGGGTTGAAGTGAGGCATTATGATCTTCTTCCAGAGAAAGGTTGGGAGGTTGATCTTCATGCAGTTGAAGCTCTTGCTGATCACAACACGGTTGCGTTGGTGATCATAAACCCTGGAAGTCCTTGTGGGAATGTGTACAGCTATCATCATTTGGAGAAGGTTTGTTCTTAGTTGCCTATGATATGGTTATATTCTATGAATCTGTTTGAATACAAATTTAAAAGATATTTAGAAGGTTTTTCCATTGAAAATAAAGAGTTTTTCTCGATAAAAAAAAATTCTTAAAAGTTTTGGAAACTAGTATCCAAACTTTAAGTGACTCTTGAGTTTTGAGACACTATGTAAAAGTTGACAATAACTTGTTAACTTAATCTATAATAATATTTTAATAAATATTAGTAGAGAAATGTTGTCAAAAATGCTAAATGTAGTGGTGTTGACAACATTAACATGAGTTCCTGATATGTTTGTATGTTGGACTTAGATTGCTGAAACTGCAAAAAGGGTTGGAACAATTGTGATTTCTGATGAAGTTTATGGTCACCTTGCCTTTGGGGGAAAGCCTTTTGCGCCAATGGGAGTTTTTGGCTCTGTTGTTCCTGTTCTCACTCTTGGCTCTCTCTCTAAGAGATGGATAGTTCCTGGTTGGAGGCTTGGGTGGTTTGTCACAAATGATCCATCTGGCACTTTTAGAAATCCAAAGGTTAATTCTTGTTCCTCTCACTCTCTGTTTAATCCACTTTTTATATTTTTATATTTATCATCTTGTGTCTTAGATCATTGATCCCATATGGTACTTGAATAACCTTACATGCATACTACAATTAGAAGTTCATTAGTTAATAGGAAAGATGCTCCACTGATCTTATCATTGATCCTCATTGATTTATGTTCTTAGACATGGCAATGAACCTTTCTTCATTTACGTTTGTTGATGGTTCACATTTCACACTCTATGCAATACTTTATTTCATTTGTGTTGAACTACCTTTATTTCCTATTCGATTGCTTCACTCTCTAGCTATTCTATATATTCAAGTTTCAATATATATCTGACTGGTACTTTAAATTAACATTTCATAGCTGAAATTTTTTGCTGCTGCTTCTAAATGCTAAATGGTTCTTCATGGTATTCAATCACCTAATATGATTTTAGAAACCATATGTTTCTTATGCAGGTAGTTGAGCGCATTAAAAAGTACTTTGATCTTTTGGGAGGTCCAGCCACTTTCATCCAGGTTTTCTAATTTTCTCTTGCATGCCTTCTTTGGCTACCAGTAATGTTTTAATTGAAGCAACTTAGTTTTATTTAAAGCTTTAATTGATACTACAATCTGAAAAGGAAAAATCAAAAATACAAAACAAAAAAGTTTTAACTCAAATTTGATGATGTTAAATAGAGAAATATGAAGGTAAAAAATGTTACATTTCACAAAATACCAAGGTATACTAGAAGTATTCTTGTGCAGACATGTCTTACTGTCAAAAGACTTGACTAGCTAGTTTTCATGTATTGTTGCTAGCTTTGTTATTAAATCCAAGTTATTTGGTTTGGTGCTGATATATGATAGAATTTTCATCTAAAATACTACCCAAAAAAAATGTTAGATATAGTAATATATAAAAAGTGTTACTATAAATATTATATATGTAGATATAAATTTATTTGATATATAGTTATACATAATTTTAGTATTGATTTTGAATGAGATTCAACAACATATATTATGTGTCACTATAATTTATATTTATACTTTTAATAATATATCAATATATATTGTGTCTATAGTGTAAGTAAAAGTATTTTTAGTAATAAGTATTATGTCATTATAAGATATTTGCTTGGTTAATCAAAATTAGGACTAAAAATGAGTCAAATTAAGCTAAATTTGATTTAGTTCGATAACATTTGACTCAACTTGAGTTCGATATAAACTTTTTTTTCCAACTCGAACTCAACTTAATTCAAGTTAGCTAGTAGCTTAATTCAACATGTTAGCTTGAATCACATGAACTAAGACTCAATTTTTTTTAATTTTATACATTTCAAATTTTCAATTTAATAATAGATTTTAAATAAAATGATTGTTTATTATTTTTAAAAGATGAAACATAACTTATTCTATTAGTTTTTGTGAGATTACAAGGTACGACTCTTAAGAAACATGATGACAACTAAAGTTTGTATAAATTAAAAGTACTTCACCTTACATAAAATACTAGAAAATCCAATCTATAACCACAAAGTTCTAAAGTGGTTACTTCTTTTATTATTATTATTAACTTATAACTAAGTTTTGAAATTTCTTTCAAACTTTAATAAGCTAAAAAAATAGAAAGTTAATTATATGAATTATATATTTACATATCATGGCGATTCATGAATTAAATGAATCAAACTATACACAACTCAAGTTCAACTCATTTATTTATCAAGCTGGATCTTTAACTTAAGTTTAACTCATTTGGTTCATGAACCAAATTCAACGAGCTAATTATTGAGTTGAGTTTTGAACTATTTCAAGATGGTTCGGTTTATTGTCATCCCTATGCAAAATATATGTGTCAAAATTTTGTGACACCCTCTACCCCACATACATATCACACAATATAATATGATAAAAAATTGAATAATCTCAATGTAATAATGAACTGAGGTATCACATTTTAATATAAATTAAACTCAGTAGAAATAACAAATTACAAGGGATATAAAATCAATTACTCAATATAACTAACTTATGGCATAGAATAAGAAATAGATAGTCAAACACACTTCATACATTATTTATACAATAGAACAATAATAAGTAATTCAGGCACATGCACTTGTTAACCACACATCAATCATAAGTAATTCAGGCACATGCAAATATGGAATGCAATAAACACAGACTCTTGATTTCCATGCATGTGATACTAATCTCAAGATATGTGTAGTGCATATTAAATGATTTGTCAATTTTCTGATTTGCGTACATATGATGCATGTCACACTGACTCTTTCATATTTTAAATGCAATTTATACATATGCTCAACGATTTTCCATCCAACGATTTGTCACACATACGATTTGTCATGCTCACAATTGTTATTAATCATATATACACATTACCACATACACAAATTGCTAACAGGAATCAAGTATCTCACTCAAGTAATTTACCAAGCATACATGTTCATTTCATATTCATCAACATTCAAATTACTTCTTACATCTCTTAGTTCTCATAGAGAAAACAACTTTTATATACAATCAGCGCCCGACGAAAATTCATTCGCGCTTGACACAACTCGTCTAGAGAGCACTCATAGCTCTCGAGATGATTCACGTCTTGCGTGACCCATATCATGCTCGACGAGATAGCAACAAGGACTCCCCTAGAGCCCCCACACTTGACCAACCTCACCCTCATCTAGCGTGAGTATCATAGAGACTCACAGTCTCGATAACACCTGACGAGGCATGCCCCACTCTTGGCGCAAACAAAACAAAGAGTGAACCCTGCTCTTGAGCACCCCAGCGCCTGGCGAGACACAAGTAGCACCCGACGCCATATTAGAAACATCAAAACTTGTAGAATTGCGATTTTTGAACAAAAAAATCCAAAACATGTATTTATCATTCCAATCGGTAAAAACACTCTAATTTATCATACAATGCATCTATAAGACATGAATTTCATATCACCATACATTCCCATCAAGTACTCACACAGTAACCATTCTCACATGTACTCTTAGGATTCCCACAGGAACTCACATGCAACTCAATCCATACCAAATAGGCTTAATGCACGATGTTAATCATATATATACTCACAATTCATATCAATTCAAGTGCAATATAATCATGTGGCAGACAATAAACAAGAACAGAAAACAATTAGGATTTCCCTCTTCGTGCAACGCTTACAACACAAAGAGGTTGGGGGCCAACCTCACTACTCATCGGTTACCTCACGCTCTAGAGCAATAATTCTCACTCCCCCTTACCTCTATCAACAAATAGCGAAGAATGTGGATCTTTGAAACAATCTCCTCTTGTCTCCTATCCTCTTGATTCTTCAAAGCGTAAAAGAAAAATGAGAGTGTGAGTAGAAATCGACGACGTGTCTCTCTTTTTAATGTTAAACCTAACTTAATCTCCCTCTAATCCATACACGGTTATTCAACCTTAACTCTGGTTACCTATCTTCCCATCACTTTATAATAATAATAATAATAATAACAACAACAACAACAACAACAAAATATTATATTAAAATAAAATCTTCATCAAAACAAATATATAAAATATAATTTAAACCTTAAAATGTCTTATAACCTCAACTCTTTATATTTTATAACAACAATATTATTTATCTAATTGCGAAAACATAGAGTGTTACAAATTTCACCCAAAATGCTTGATTAGGTAGAATTTTATTCTCTCATTACATGCATTCATCTATTACTTACAAAATCACAGTTTTTAAGTCTAAATCTAGCAGTTTGACATATGCTCACTAATTTGTTTAGATCTTAAGTTCTGACCTTTGTTTGGTGATTTTGACGCCATTTGAAATCCAAGGCTACAATGCTTATAAATACCACAAAACCTAGTTCGGTCATTTAAGGCTCCTAACAAGGTTTACAAGTTATAGATGGTACTTTTCACGCACTAGACATGAGACTCATTTTTTAACTAACATAATTCAATTATTTTTAATATTTTATGTAATTTTTGAATCTAATCTATAGTCCCAAATATTTATTTTTCAGCCTAGAGAGAAATCATCTAAATAATGAAGCATGTTCATATCAAAATTTTCAAAATCAATCAAATTGAACAAAATTCCCAAATTATACATTCAACCCTAACCCTCAAATACTTAGTATAAAATATAAAAAATATAATTCATTAGTGAATCACAAAATATGTACATACAACAACAACTATCTCATATCAACCACAATTACATCAAACACATAATTATAATTCTTAAGAAGGTTTCACTGTCTATATCTCTTATATATGTGTCCTGTGTCCACGGTGAGATATTTTCACTACTCCTTTTTACCTCATATGACTTTCACTAAGGCAACATGCATTTATCTATTAATTGATTGATGGCGTTTCTGGTTTGGCAGGCAGCTGTACCTCGAATAATTGCACAAACCGAAGAGATTTTCTTCAAGAAAACCATTGATAATTTGAGGCATGCTGCAGATATATGTTGTAAAGAGATAGAGGAAATTCCATGCATTTTTTGCCCTTACAAACCAGAAGGGTCCATGGCTTTGATGGTGAGGAACTAAAGATATACTCCCAAGCTTCGTCCCTATCGTTCCTATTTTTAAGATATATTTTTCTTTTCCTTTCGTTTGTCTTTTTTTATACTTGACTCCTTTCCAATTATTTCTTCACTAATTGCTTTTTTACTAAAATTTTCTTAGTTACGATAAATTCGCTGGCTCTTTTATGAAGATTAGAGAACATAACATGCACACATAATTAAGTAGAAAGTAATTAAGTGCAGTGAAATGATGAGTACCAATAATTTTAAGAGTAATTTTAGAAATATGATTCTAATTGTTAATAAATTTAATGTTACTAATAAGAATAACTAACTTCTTAAATGGGTATGAATTAGTTAAAAGAGTCCTACATTTAAGAACTAAAGGAGTGTCACAATTGAGATTCTTTGAAAGAAAATATAAAGTGTAATGATATGACTAAGAAGTAATCTTCATTTCATAAATTAGTTTTATATAAGTTAATTATGCCACACAAAAAAAACTACATAATAAGATAATATCATAATGTATCTTAGCATTTGTTGGGCTCACATGTTATCAAGTTATTATCTAATTACTTATAAATATTTGATTTGTAAATTTTATTTTCTGAATGTTGAACCATATATCTGCAAATGTAAATGGAGCACTCATATCGTATAAATTATTGATTTTATTAGGTTGAGTTAGATATAAAATACATATTCTAAGAAATAATCTTAATAAAGGTACTCTATTTCAATTTCAAGGAATGTTATTTGTATAATAAAATATACAATAAATTTTACAAATAAAGAAATAAACAATAAATATATGTACTGAATGTGATGGGGATGTATAACATAATGTTATAAAAATTGTGTCATGTATCAGTATCACCCTTTTATTTATTCTCGAATGAAATGCAGGTGAAACTAAACCTTTCACTTTTGGAAGGGATTAGTGATGACATAGATTTCTGTTTCAAGCTCGCTAAGGAGGAATCTGTTATTATTCTTCCAGGTACAATTGCATAAATCATGCTTTACACTTTACTTTTGTGGCAGAAAAACATCTGATAATTTCGTCCCATCGGAAAATTTTGTGGCAATTTGTGTGTGCCAATCAGTAGTAAAAGCAAAGTTGACTTTGAGATGGGTGATTTATACCATAAAGGTAATTACTTTTAGAAAGTATACTATTTAAGTAATTTTAAAATAAAATTACCCATATTTAATAAAATAGTCGAAGATGGTTTTGTAAAAATATTAATAAGTTTTAGAAAATAGGCTTTGTGATTAATACATTAACAATTAAAAAAATTGTTAAGTATTAAATAAAATTTCACAAAACATATTTTCAAATCATTTTCTCAGGAGAAATTGATCTAAAGAAAATTTCAACAAAAGAATAACTTGAATACGCAAATTTTTTTAATTAAAAACTAAATAAAAAACTTTTAAAATTGATTTTAGGATTTTCAGCTTCTATATTTTTTATTTCAAATTCCAATATATATA